TACATCCTCATATCAAATAAAACATAGGATTATTCTAGTTGTACATAGATATACACATAAAGCTTCACATAATGTGAGTGGGGTGGGACCTGCGATACTGTAGCATGGGCCTCACCCCCACTCACATTATGTGAACCCCTATGTGTACCTCTATGTACCCATAGCATGGCTCTAAAACATATTATGTCCCCAGTTTGGTAGCTTTTAAAAAAAATAAAAATTTAAATATGTGGTTAAAAGTATGAAATTTTTTTAATTTTATGTGTAAAATATATTCGTGTAAATGTGTTGTTGAAAATGAGTACGTAGAAAAAATAATTTTTAAAGAATGAGAGACAAATATGGACTATATATATATATATATGAATGATTTAATGAGTATCGGTGCTCATTTTATGTTGAGCACATGCGCATTCGAAAAATCGTAGAAACTCTTGTTCTAGTGGCAACAGTAGACTTCTTTCTTCATCGAAGGCAAGAAAAACCATGCAATCCTACGAAGAAGAAGATAACATACTAGGTTCCAGAACTTGACAATGTATTTGTATTAGAATGTTATCTTTGACATTTCGCCCCTGTTTGAAACACATTAAAATTCTCATTCTCATTTTTCTACTAATTTTTAATCACATATTTTTCAATAAAATAATATTTTTCATCACATCAATAATTTTTCCTTCTTTTTCAACCACATATTCTTCGTCACATAAAAAAAATACATTCTTTAGGAAAAATGTGCACCAAAAGGATTTTTGGGGGAAGAATTGATTTTGAATAGTGATATGATGGGAAATGTGTGGTTGAAAAAGAAGAAAAAAGTATTGATGTGATGGAAAATATTATTTTATTGAAGAATGTGTGGTTGAAAATGAGAATTGATTTGAGAATTGATTTGAGAATCAGAAACAAACAGGGCCTAATACCTTTTCCTTTTTTTTTTCAACCACACATTCTCCATCAATCTATTATTCCAAAACACATTCTTCCAAAATAATGTGGCTGAAACGCGATTTTCCAAATAATTGCGAGTGATTTTGTCCCGTTGGTGCAATTCCTATTTCTCGCCCTATTCTTGCAAAGAGAGATCTTAGACTACTACTGCTACTAGCACTAGAAACGGTCCGAGCAGGTCGCTTCATTTCGCCATCTTACCCTCATTCTATTTCCCGCCTCAGTGCAAGTTTGTGATTTCTAACCTTTTTATCCCATACCTCGCACTTCCCTTTGAATATCTGTACAATTATTACTGTTGTCCTTTATGGATAGCCTCGTTAAATCACAAATCTGATACTTATCCATTCTTTTTTTTTGGTGAATTAAGGGTGAATTTTGATCATAACAAATAAGATTAAATTGTTTCTAACAATTGATATTGAGGGGTGATATTTCAATATTGAAATCAATCATGCATTTTCAAAATCAACACATTATAAATCGAACTTGAAATGAAGATCAAAGTGAAAGTTAAGTATTCAAGTCAAATTATTCAATACGAGAGCTTAAAAGACAAACGTAAAAATTAAAAAATTAAAAAAAAAATAAATCCATAAGTGACAATATCAAAGAAAGATCAAGATAAGAAGTACAAGAGACAAATTTCGAAAAAAAAAAATCAAATACTAATTTTTTTAGTTAAAATATAAAGGTACTAATACTTTGATATTTAACCATGAATGATAAAAACTCAGAAATTTTGATTTTTTGATTGCTATAAATACCACTTCACTTTGTATTCATTATAACAATTAGAAGAGAGCTTTCTTGTGAAATATATTCGTGAAAACCTTCTCAGAACTTATATTTTTACATTCATTTCACGACCAAAATTTTGATTGTTGAATCAAACTTCTTGAATTCTTTCTCTCATCAAAATTTTTCATTTCTCTTTGTGGTTAATTTATTTATATCAATTTTTAAAAAATGGTATATTTTTTAAGAAAATCTTTGCACTTACATTGTATAAATTTTTCTACTCCATATTGAAAACTTTGACTGATTGAATCAAATTTGTAAAATTGTCACATTCATAAAAAATTCACATTTATCTCTTATTACTTAATTTATTATAATTATTCATTAAAAGAGAGATATATCTTGAGAATATTTTTGAATCTACATTGTATTTATTTCTTCTTCATTTTTTCGTCGAAAAACTTTGATTGATTGAATCTAATTTTTAATTATCATATTTATCAAAGATTTCCATCTAATATTTGAGCTATCATTTATTATTATTCATTGAAGTGTTATAATCTGTTAGTACTTAACTTGTTTGTATTATTTATCAAGAGAGGAATTCTATTATAAAACTACTTTGATAAAGTGTGGGTGGTGTTCAAGTCCCATAAAAATCAACATTATATAAGGATCGGTGTTCCTTATTGTAAATCACCGTGTGTGTCATTGAGATCCTATAAAACTTAATATTGTCTAGGGATCGATACTTCTTGTTTGTAAGTCACTTGAGGCGTTGCATAGGGTTGGACTGCATCATAAGTCAATTAATATAGTGAAAAGTCTTTGCTCGCGTCGAAGAATTTGATAACAAATGATGTAGATCATTGCTTTAGATCATCTTGTTTGCATTATATCGTTTGCATCATTTCCCATTTTTACTTATCGCTTTTATAATTGTGCTTATTATTTGAATTAATTTATATAGTCTTCACTTGCTTAAATTTAAATTAATTCTTTGAAAAAAAATTTAAAAATCAATTCACTCCCTTTCGATTAGTTATTCCTGAGCTATAAAATGTATGTTTAAAAGTATGAAAAAAGTATGAGTTTACGTATAAAAGTTGGATTTCACTTTTCGAAACTTGCGACTTTCCTCCTATTGATCTTTTAACGCTTCTTGTCAATTCTGTACAATTCAATTAGTCTACAATTGCTCCAAACTAACTTCAAGTGGACTTAAAATCGTTCTTTTTTCTTCCAATTACCTTCAAATCTGGGTTACCAGCATGAATGACATTTATAAAAAATTAAGTAGAAATTCACTCTAAATACTTATCAAGTTTGTAAGCACGAACAAACGTGTAAAATACATATATTAAATACCACCAAAACTTGTACTTTAGCAAGATTATCTATTCAAATACACGAGCAAATAAAATTAAAAATCAATTCATTAGATAACTTGTCGTAATCTTCTTGAATGTGCAACTACTCAAGCAATTCTTAAGAGGCTTCTAAGTCATGATATAAATTGTACTTATTTGATGCTCGATCGATATGTGTACATAGTCAATTCAATCACCACAAGCATTTAGGTTAATTATATCACGATCCTCAATGGTTGATTATTTTATTTTCATTTCATGAGATGCATACCACCAAACTTGATATTCAATCTCACTTTGGAGTTTATTTTAAGGTTGCTTTCACAATGTATCCATTCCTCTTTGACTCAAGTTTGATTGGGTTCACCCAATCGAAATAATTAAGGCCCTGTTCTCTTTATCGTTTTCAAGTCGTTTTCTGTTTTTAATTTTCCAAAACAGTAAAAACGCGTTCTCTTTCTTATTTTCGAAAACGCGTTTTTAAAAATGAAAAAAAAAAAACCAAAGAAAACACAAAATGACTAAATCCTCGTTTTGGAAAAACTTGCAACAAAACAAGCAAATTGGCCAAAACACGGGAAACGCATTTCTGAATTCTCTCTCTCTATCTCTCCCCTCTCCCGTAATGTAAGACGCTCTGGATTTCCGCTATCACAAACCCACAGGCCACAACCCAAAATTGAAAACATATCGTGTTGCCAAATCGAAGGGTTCTCTATGGGATCTTCAAATGAAGGTTTTGAGCCCGCCTTTCCGAATCGAAGGCTTCTCTTTCCGTTCTGATCTAGAGTATTCATATTCTCTATATATTATTGTCCCGTTAATTTATTTACTTCAAGATGTTGTGATTTTTATGCATTTTTGATTGAATTATTCGTTCAATTTGGTACAGGATCTAGTTCCGATTCTTTACTTCAGCAAAACTGGAGGCAAATTTTGGTTTTATTCGGGTAAATTACGAGATCCCTTTTTGATCATTTGTACTAAATTTTGATAAATTTGGTAAAGGTTGAATATTGAATTGTGGGTTTTACTTGTTTTGAAAATTGGGGTAATAGGAAAACAATAGAATGTTGAATTTCAGGTTTGCTTCATTCGAAAACTGTGGCAAAATGGAAAAAGATCGAACTTTCACTTGTGGGGTTTGCATATTTGGGTGTATTGGTTGAAATGTAAATGAATGTAGCTAATGTACTCGTTTATGAGAAGAATTTTATTATTTGCTCAATTAATAATTAAAAAAAATAAAAGTTGAATTTTATAGCTTTTCTGCAATTTATACCCTAAGGAAGCATTTTGAAACAATGAGAGTTTATTCTTTAGCAATGATGATTTAGTTATTACATTGTTTTGAAATTTCAAATATTGATTATACCAGCTAGAAAAGTATCGATTTCACTTGAATTTCTTCTTCTTTTTTCCGAATGTAGATTGCTTCATTTATTCTTTGAGTAGTCTAAGATTTCTTTCCGTGGATACAGCTGCAACCTAAGTCATTATGTAGACCTTTTGTTTCTTGCCAGAATTTCATGAATACAGGTCAAAAGTGATTTCATCATGCTTTCATTTTAGTGAATTATTGCAATTTTTCATTTTTGGTTAAATATTTTTTTCTGGTCTTTTGTTTATGTTGATGATTAATTTTTGGATTTTAATGCAGCAAACTTTGGATGATTTGCATTGAAATCGGAAGTTAGTGAGTATGTTTGATTAATCTGATTGTTTGATTTTGTGTGTGTTCTTGATTTGGATTCGTTGTTAAATTAATTTAGATTGATTGAGCTGGCTTAGAAATGAAATAGCAATGGTATAATTGTTTTTATTGATCTTTTTTGGCATGTTTAAGGATGAAAATGGAGTTAAAATCTTGTTCACGATAGTGTCCAATATATATAAGATTCTTGAAGTTTTGGCAATCTTCTATTTTGCAGATGAAAAATGGCGTCAATGGTGGTGAAGGATTGTAGTTATAGTTCCAGTCAAATTCCAGTTATGACAGTGGAAGAAAAAGGAAGTAGGAACAAGAGAAAATCCCGAGCAGATCTGCCTCTAGCAGACCCTACTAAGATCTTCCCTTCACCTCCAAATGAATGCACAAGTTTCGAATTCTCAACTGAAAAGTTGGAGATTCCCCGAAGTCGTGGGCATGCAAGCAGTTGTGACATGTGTTGCATGACTTGTGATAAATCTGATGCTTTGAAACTTGATCTAAGATTGTCATGTGCGGTGGAAACATTGGAAGTGAGGCCAAGACAACCTCAAGAGGAGATGGAAACATTATCGAATGAGTACAATGGTGCTAATTGGAGTAAATCTTACAGAATCCCTGCTAGAGGACTTGTTTTGAGTGATTTGGATGCAATTTTCAAGAGTGCAATTAAGAAAATAATTGCTAGTGGTTATAGTGAAGAAATTGCTACAAAGGCTGTTTTGAGATCTGGCCTTTGCTATGGGTGCAAGGACACTGCATCAAATATTGTGGATAATACTTTAGCATTTCTTAGAAGTGGCCGAGATGTTGATTACTCAAGGGAGCATTGTTTTGAGGATTTGCAGAAGATGGAGAAGTATATTTTGGCCGAGTTGGTTTGTCTTCTAAAAGAGGTTAGACCTTTTTTCAGCACAGGGGACACAATGTGGTGCTTGTTGATATGTGATATGAACGTGTCGGCATAGAATAATTGTCCATATGAATTCAGAGGAAGATGCAAGTCCAAGTGAAAATTTTGCTCTGGAAGTCATTTGTACATTGGTTCTCATATTGTGCATATTATTATTTAGTCATGTCTGGTAGCAATGAAAATAGCAATGACATATTCATTTTGTTCCAAATGACTATGTGAATCCAACTGATTGATTTTTAGATATTGACAATATTTGTGATCTGTCTTTTTACTTGTAAGTAGTTTATCTATAATCAAGGAGTAATGTTATTTATTATCACTTATGATAGTCATCGTATTTAGACAATAAAAATTGTATTTGGTAAGAATTGTGAGAACTAACATGAAATTGATAAAATTGATTTCAAAATATTTATTAACATGTCAACATGAGATTAGTCCTCCCCTTTTTTGCAACTTGATTAAGTTTGATTGTGACTTGATGCTAATTAATTATTGTCACAAGTTACGTATAAGGACAAAAATAAGGATTGGTCAAATTTAATGTAGGTTATGTTTTTTATATTTGGAAAAAAAATATTTCAAGATTCATCAACTTCAAAATTTATATGTTATTTAATACTATATTAAAATTAAACTATTAAAACTTATTAAATAATTAGATTTCTTGAATAAAATATTATTAAAAAAATTCTCAAAATTTTAAAGTAAACGAGTTTTCCATTTTTATGTTTTTAGAAACAGTTTTTTCAAAATGGCAAAAAGAACACATTTTCAAAAATTTCAAAATAGACACTCAAAACACAAAACACAAAATGAATTCAAAACTCAAAACACAAAACTGAAACACAAAGAGAACAGCCCCTAATGTTTCTTCTTAAATTTGAATATCTCAACCTTTAAACTTTTGTTACGCAAATCAACCTTACTAGGTGAGTGTTTTGTGAGGATTAAAATTATATTTTTAATAGACTGTGATAGAAATTTTTGAAATGTATGATTGAAAAGTTGTGTGACCCATAAAAGATATGGTTAATAATTAATATTGATTGTTTGACTTTAACTTAAATTAAAATCTATTTTTAATTAGAAACAAACAAGACCTAGGTATCTAAATCTCCAAATTAAATGTCCAGCATTTAGCTAGGAAGTACTGAGTACACTTTTTTTTATTGCAACTGCTTACATCCTCATATCAAATAAAACATATTATGTCCCCAGTTTGGTAGCTTTTTTTAAAAAAAAACATTTAAATATGTAGTTAAAAAGTATGAATTTTTTTTAATTTTACATGTAAAATATTTTCATGTAAATGTGTTGTTGAAAATGAGTACGTAGAAAAAATAGTTTTGAAAGAATGAGAGACAAATATGGACTATATATATATGAATGATCTAATGAGTATCGATGCTCATTTTATGTTAAGCACATGTGCATTCGAAAAATCGTAGCAACTCTTGTTCCAGTGGCAACAGTAGACTTCTTTCTTCATCGAAGACAAGAAAAACCATGCAATCCTACTAAGAAGAAGATAACATACTAGGTTCCAGAATTTGACTAGGTATTTGTATTAGAAAGTTATCTTTGACATTTCGCCCCTGTTTGAGCTACATTAGAATTCTCATTCTCATTTTTCTATTAATTTTCAACCACATATTCTTCAATAAAATAATATTTTCTATCACATCAATATTTTTTCCTTCTTTTTTAACCACATATTCTCCACCAATCTACTATTCAAAAATACATTCTTCCAAAATAATGTGGCTGAAACGCGATTTTCCAAATAATTGCCAGTGATTTTGTCCCGTTGGTGCAATTCCTATTTCTCGCCCTATTCTTGCAAAGAGAGATCTTAGACGACTACTGCTACTAGCACTAGAAAGGGTCCGAGCAGGTCGCTTCATTTCGCCATCTTACCCTCATTCTATTTCCCGCCTCGGTGTAAGTCTGTGATTTCTAACCTTTTTATCCCATACCTCATACTTCCCTTTGAATATCTGTACAATTATTACTGTTGTCCTTTATGGATAGCCTTGTTAAATCACAAATCTGATACTCACCCATTCTTAAAAAAAAACCACTTAATTCCCACTCTACGGAGTTTTTGTTATTAAGTATGCTGGATACATTGTCGAGGAGAAGATGGATGAACATGCACTTTGACAGCAATTTAGAGGACCATGAATTGTGGAACTTTTTACCATTTTGTAACACGCTTTGGTTTCAAATAAGATTTAACCATTTCAACGATTCACTTATATGTGTATGGAAGGAGGGATGAAAACACCACAATTATCAACCTAACGAAGTTATCATTTCCTAAAAACAGCTTACCACATCAATATTTCATTCTGATATGTTTGAAACGGATCCTTTATATACCAAGGGACACGAAATGGGAAGAAAGTTACATTTTCCGAAACCCAGCAAACCTGTCTAATATATATGGAGAAGCTCAGTCAAAACAGCCAGCCGGGATGCAGCCTCCATTACAACTGACGACGGGATTGTTGAGTTCTATTCACGATAGAGTAAAGATGCTGCACACTCTTTTTTATTCTTTTTAGTCAGCGTTTCTTTGTTATGCTTCGTAAAATAGTTTACGAATGCAATGTTTCCAGTGGCAGAGCTGGTCGATTGTCAACCATGTCTTATTTTTTGGTAGCAAATCTCCCAGCTACAATAGATGGATGGCTAATACCATAGTTAGAGCAATGCGTTCAACTCGCTAGGATAAGTAAAACATGAGTAACATTTCATTCTATAGCCCACTGCACAAACTTGCACCCTACAAATTTTTTCTAGTAAGACAAAGGACAATTAATTTACAGGAATATTCAAATCTAAAATTGTCAAAACATCACACACTGAAAATCCAAACAAGCTACAGCTTAATTTTTATCTTATTCATGATCGAAAGTCGCACCAAATAAACTTCACGTTGACCTCTAAAAGGGGACCATTTTGTTCGTTCATTTTGCTCCATTCGTGTTTTTGCCTTGTTACGATTTTCCCTTCTGAATTATAAACTTCACGTCTGTTGAAATGATAAACGCCATTTTGCTAGTTCAAAGAATGAATGCCTACATATGTTTGTTTGCATGTGTTCGAGTTTTTCAGATGACGAACAGAACACAGTGCTGCAATAATGCAACGTTAACTGTATAGAAATGGGAATTATAAATAGGTAGAATTAGATTTACCTTGAATTTGTACCGTCAGCCTCGGATCTCAACTGCATCCAATTTCAAGTGGTTCAGAAAATTGTATCCTGTCCTGAATTCTGACAAGAATCTATTTTCTTGAATTCTTGCTTGTCATGGATTAGTTAAATGCTCCCTCTAATTTCGATGATTTGGTTATGTAACTAATTTCTTATTATTAGCATGGTATCACCCAATTTTCTATCTCTATTATGATTGATAATAAATTTGGTCTTTTGTGCATTTTTCATATTAGGATCCCCAGAAAATATTTAAAGTTTCGGTTTCAGACGTATATATCAACCAAAGCACTTCAGCAGAATTTTTTAATTTCTATAACTGAAACTCTAGCACTCCATAGAATTTGACAATATTCTTCAATACTATTTTGTAGCAAAATCAATGCACAGAAAAAGATATCATCGTTTACACTTAATTGAATGTCAATACATCTGTTGAATGCGCACTAACAGTTCACAGGCATGACATTGAAACATTATTTTTTTAGAGTACCATGGAAGGATATGCTATGACTACATAACAAGCATTTCCCAACATTATTCAGGCTACCCTACAGAAGAAGACGATATTTTGGAATATTACATCTCAAAATGCAACTACTGGTTCCCAGTTGTAGGGGCATCTCGACCTTTCTTGAAATCGTCCCAACCTCTTACCCAAGGCTGCCCAGGAGTTGCTCGAGTCTCAGGAGAAGCATGGCTGTTGAGGTTGTTCATAACCTTGTCTCGCACAGCTACAAATACCTGTGATGAAAATTAAGTCATATCAAGAAAGAAGTCATGGTCCTCATTGATAGAGGAGCAAAATATACAGAAGAATTGATTTCTAAATCATGTATTACAGGATTTATGTTTACTGCATCCGGGGGTTGTTCCTGACCAGTCAGCCATTTCCATAGATCTGGATTCTCCTGTTGGTATTAAGTAGGAATAAGCTTAGAAAACACTAGTGTAATCAGCTTAATGCAAGACATGGCCGATCAAAAGCATAAAGTATAATTTGTATATTATACACATTCTACTCGTAGTAAAATAAAATGGATATATGTATGTGATAAAAATATTAGTAGATATATTATTTAGTTTAGTTTCCAATTTTGATGTTTATTTTAGGAAACATAAATAGCGTTTGATTTCATAGTATTTTCCTTTTTCACATCCTAAAACTATACCAACCACCACCCATGCCATCTCCGACAGCCCGTTACCTTCCCTAGCCACCTATCTCCAAATCCTCTTCAAAAATCCTTAAAAAGAAAAAGAAGGGTTATTATTCATGGTACTACTGTTCACAAGATACGGTTCATATGGATTTTTTTTCTTTTTCTTTGTTTTAGTTGAGGCTGTCCATCTATTAAGCAAAATTTTGAATTAGATTAGTTCTTTCATTGTTATTCTTAATTTTAAAAAAAAAAAGAAAAGAAAAGAAAAACAGTAAAAAAACTTTGACAGGTACTTTGTTGTTATTGTTGTTGCTGCTGCTCAATTACGATCAAGTTACCACATTGGTGCAATTCGATCATGATCTCACACGGAACGCCGAATGCTTAAACAATGATTTTGCCCATTGTTGGCTCCATATCAATTGCCCAGGCAGACTTTTTGCTATCTCGATAACTTTACTTCTGTTAAAGTGTTTGGCTAGTCACTTTCATCATTAAAAGAAAAAAAAAATTATAATTCATATCTCTTATAGCTACACCAAGCCCCTAGGTTGTACGATGACAGTGTTTGTTCCCTCATCCTTACAATTATCCCCCGTCTAGGAACATTATCGAGGACGTACATTCTCCTTCTAGGAAAGTCACATTCCAACTATGGAACTTTGATGGTCTCACTGGTCCCGAGTCCTTTAATGATTGACAAATGCTCTTGAAAAATTATTTGACTTTCACAATTTGAGTGACTTCAGTTGTTTTAGTCATGTTAATATGTCACTTGTCAACTCTACTAATGTTATTGAATGTCATTTTTTGCATAACATTAATCTTCTAGATCAATGTTGTGTCACTTTGTGAGACGAAATAAAACGAATATTAAGTAATAAATATAATCAAATGTACTATCAAACTCAATTGCTAGATTAATTCTTCTTGCACCGTAAACGAGGTCCATTTACAGTGACGGAATATTTAGCCTACTTTGAAGAGTTATTGCACAGTTTCGATATTTATGAAACTCCTTACGTTAACACATCTAGATTTCTAAATGTTTGAATCCAGAAATCTTAATTGATGACATTCCTACATCTCAATCTTTAGATGATACTTGCCAACAACATGTCCTCAATTTCATGCTCCAAAATTCGAACCCAAGACATCTGTCTTACGAGAGACTTAAGTTGAACACAAGTACCAATTGGGCAAGTTATTCAATTAGTACCAGAATTCAAATTAAATCTCCCATAAGACAGAGTTCTTGGGTTCGAATACTGGGGATGCGATAGAAAGCCATGAGAGGGTAAGAGAGCGAATGTCATCTCAAAGCGAACAATACATAAGAGAGCGGATTGGGAACAAGGTTCGTATTGTTACAAACTGGGTCCCAAGGAAAGTCACTCCATTTAGGTGGTATAATCAAGATTATGCAAGTAGCTCTACTACAAAACAAGAATCAAAGAATGCTGGTTATGCTACAAAATCAACAAGTCAATCCATGGACCTGAGTCACATGGATTCACCAACTTTGAATGACCATTCTTCCAAGAACAACTTATAGACCATTTGTTAGACAAGGATAATCACAAGACATTGTGCCAAGAACCACAAAGGAGAGGAGAAGAGAAACTAGATATTCACTTGCTGTCATCTCAATCACTTATCTTGACAGAGGAAGATACTTTAGAATAAGATGATACTCGGAGACCTAAAAGAATTAGGACGACCGACCGAATGCTTGGGTTGGGGAAGAAGGTGAAAGAAAAGCTTTAAGTCAAGAGACGTCACATCGAAGTGAAAGGAAAGTGTTTTGTTGACAAGATGAGGGTAACGTAGAGAATGAATGGTAACACTGGATTTCATTAGCAGTAAATACTCACCTGTTTATTGGTGGCATGGTCTTATTTTAATCTGTAGAGTTTATACTTGATGCTTTTGTAAGTTTGTGTAATAACAGGAAAGAGAAAAGGTGAATGATCTTCAAATTACCCTACACATTTGACATAATCAAGGTAAATATTCAGCCATTGTATTCCCCAATCTAGAAACTAACGAATTTTTTGTTACATTTCTACGTCTGAATCCATATCCTTCTTAGTTTGTCTCGCACTGGCAGCATGTTTGGCTAATCTTAAAAGATAAACTTCCAAGTAAGTTCACTTAAGAGTTAAGAGTAGAAACATATTTATTTTCTAGTAATAAAACTCAACTACTTTATCTTAGGGTGCTACGTAAACATATAAAAATGAACTTAATGCAATTATCACTTCTGAAAAACATATTGGAATCCATCTCAGTCATCTCAAGAAGTATACCCCTGTGGTCCCCCATCTTATTATGTTCCATTTCAAGTCATTTTGTAATCCCAATCTCTTTCTGCCAATTGAAGCAAAGTGTCGTGACAGATAGCATTACATCAATGCATGTAACTTCATAAGTAGACCTTCCTCGTCACAAAACTCTCTTATTTCAGGCAACGTTAAAGGTGGGAACAGAAGCTTCGTGCCTAAATTCAGGAGTCAAAATTCTAATGGCAGTTTTGTACTAAACTTCTGTCATGGTAAAGGAGTGTAAAATAGCTTATTTCCACAGTGGATCCTATTAACCTTGGTTCAGTGAATTTTGATAGCAAAGATCCATTCTTAAACCCTCGCCTCCCCTGTGGAAAGTATAAATACTAATCCATATTCTGCCAAAACATTAAACATCCACGTCACGAGTCATGATGACCCTTATAATTTATATCTAATCACCTGAAATCAGTGATTAACCCAGTTACTGCCGTGACAAATATATTCCTCGTCTAAATTGGCTTTTACATGATCAACATCAATCGACGGTATAATTGCTTTCGCAATTGATGATCAGGACAACCAAACATATTCAACCACCTAAAACTAAAGACGTAACTCATTATGATTCAGAAATATAAATATTCAGTATAAATGCTCATCTTTGATTGCCCCAATATTCAAAGATGGGTAATCAGTTCTAGGCTCAACAAATTATTTATAAGAAAATGTTTCACTGAGCACAACAATCAAGAGACCATAACTGGGGAAGGTTTCTTTTGCCTTGCTCCCCATTTCACATCTCACTTTTAACATATTAAAGTTTTGAATTACTTTAAGGAAATACCATAAAAACATAAATACTGAAAAAAAGAAAATATATTTGATTCTAATATTTTTGGTATATTACCTAATCACGTAAAAATGCTAAAATCAGAATATTAAGTTATCACGTGAAGAAACAGACCTTTTGAAATTTGCTAATAGAAAAAAAAAGAAACAAGGAGATAGCTAGGAGTAAATTTACCAGGTCAAGGACGTGAACCAGGGATTTAATTCCATCTTCATCCATGGAGTGAATATGATTCTCCACCCATTTCCCCAAAATTAAGTCCAGTTCCAGGTACCCTCTTTGCTTGCTCCTATACAATATCCTACAATTTCGTGAAGACAATAAATTGTTCATACTCAAAAACCATCGCTAGGAGATGCTACTAACTAATTTTAACCCTAACTTCCACTGAGTTGTTAAAATTGCAAACCTGTTAAATAAGCGCCTTTTGCTTTCTTCATTAGAAAGATCAATTTCGAACGATTGGGTGCTCAAATTGGAAGAACAAAAATGAGAAATCGAACCCAATATAGGCCTAGATAAATCAAGTAAATTATGATCAATAACAGCAGAAATAACAAAAATATATAATTTTTTTTTGTTGACTGTATATTGAAGTAAAATTCTTGACCTGTGAAGAGAATCGGATGTGGCATGCGACGACCGATTCGAGGAGCTAAGAAGCCGAGGAACGGCGGTGAAAATTGCCCTTCGCAAACTTGCCATTTTTGAGGGATGTTCGTTTGAGTGGGGTGGGTTATTCAAATGAGATGAGACGTACGATTTTTCCCTGAGATATATGATGAGAGGCGTCGAGGCGTGGCACTCGTGCGACCACATGATCACGAGGCAAAATTTATGCGACCTGCCCGTAAAACATGAGGGTTCTCTATAGAGTATTGGATGTTCGAGTCCCCACGATAGCTAGAATGCAACATTATATATTGGAAGGTAGATGTCCTATGGTAAAGTTATGATACGCTTTGTCGCCTCTCCAACGTCTTGTTCTCATGTCGTAAAGGGAGGTCCATAGGGAGGAAAATCGATTCCTGAATGTCCGGTTCAAATGTGTATAAGTTGTGACTGTATCCGAATTTGTCCTGGTGACGAACCAGAGGGAAAGACCGTCACTCCTCAGGATTAGTCGGACAAAACTCGGACACCCGAGTCATCAAAAAATAAAATTATGCGACCTACTATGCAACTGTTAACCCCAGGTCTGAGTACAATTATTCCGAAATTCTTTATTTTTCATTCTCTTTCAATCACACAGTCACACAATAAAATATTCAGTACGTAAATTCAAAAAATTTCTTTAGTTTTAAACTACACATTTTTAAAAAATTCATTATTCAAAATTTTATTTTTGCAGGATAATGACCATCAAGCAAGGGCTGAACAACCATTAAAAAGAGTTTATATATATTTGTCAAACAAGAATTAAATTTCTCCTTTCATTCTATTAAACAATTTATCTATTTATGAATGTTTTCCAAGTGTAATGTTTTTTGATATGTAAACTAGTAAAAAGTGCAGTTTTTCAAGCGGGGTTTCACGAAAGCAACAATCCTTAGCATGGTAAGGTATTAGAGTCCCACATTAGTTGGTAATATTTATATGATCCACTTAATAAAGTAAGTGTAATCCTCCTCTAATAAGCCGGTTTTGTTAGGTAGAATTAGACTCAATATCCTTTCTAATATGATATCAGAGCAGATCCAATTTTACAATGTTGGGTGCACCCAATATCGATTTGTTCACAATTGTTTATCATAATCCACGTTGTGCGTGAGGGGGCGTATTAGAATCATACGTTAGTTAGTGATATTTACACAATCCACTTAATAAGGTGGGGGCAATCCTTTCCTAACAAGCCGATTTTGTTAGATTGAGTTAGGTCAATATCCTTTCTAATATAAGGTGTTGAGCACCGCTTAGACACAAAAAATGCATCATGTGAAGTTTGTCGAGCACACGATTGAAATATCTCATATATTAACTTGCTTGACACGAAAGGTAAATAGGAAGATCTTCCACTTCTCTTGGCCAAGAACGAAATCATAAATTCTGTGGTCGATGAACAAATAGACCATGGGTTAAAAAACTTGTAAGAAACCCGAAGTGACTGATTCTAATAATATCAAGACGAGTGATGACTGATGAGACAAATACACGGCATTATGTACAACTATTCCATACAACTACATTCATCAAAGGCTCTCTTATATTGTGGACTTTAACTTCCATATGATTAAAGGTTTGTCTAATGAAAATTCATTCATATTATAATCCATTCAATTCAACACAAAAGAAATGCCGAAGCAATCAATAATCAGTATCAGAAATACCAAACTTACAAATCATGGTGCTCTTCTATTCAATCCCAATGCTCTCTGGTTCCTCAAGTGAACAAAATTGGATGTCATACACAAAACTAAGAGGACATAATGAAAAAAATTACTCTTGCTTCTCTAGTCTGATCAAATCTTTTTGAGACGAAATCAGTTGGAAATCAATTGTTGTACTATACGACTCCATTTCAACATCTTCATTACGTATCAATATAGGCATCTTTGATGTAGTGTTTCTTCGTCTCTTATATGGTCAACTGAACTGAACTAAACTGAATCCTCTAATACATGGACCCCTTACTATAGAAATGAATCTCACGCCTTTCAGAGAAAAATTTACCGATTATGATTTATGAATTGATCCGGAAGAAGGGCTAGCCAAACTGTAGTATCAGCCCCGTCTTCAGGACTAATATGCCCCGCCCTTGGTCATGGCCGTCTTTGCCCAGCCTGGACAGTAGTTATTGATATATATCTTCTGGCCCTCGGGACGTGCTGAAAGAATCCTTCCCATCAGCCATGTGTAAGTGTTAACGGCCAGTTTTGATAAAGAGTAATCCCTAAAAAATTGAGGCCATCCACCTTCTGTCCAACTGCCATCTTTTACTTGTTCTAAAAAATTATTCACTGTCTGGTCAATCAATTCCTCAGACAGTGCTTTTTCTCAATTCATAATTTCCAATTTTCTGCAAAAAAACAGATTCTTATTTGTAGAGGTATGATTTCGGGGACTAAAAATCTTGTAAAAAACTTATTTTGTGGAGGAGGCTTTAACATCTATTCATACATGCTCAAAGTATGAATTTCCAAGTTCTCAAGCCGGTTGAAGATGTTTGCTTTGAAGAAGCATGGCCTTTAAATTGTCAAAAAGAACAAAATATGAAAGAAAACTCAATTGTTTTGGGATTTTTGGAAGGGGAGCAGAAAAGAATAATGTGACTGTAGGATTTCTATCGGAGGAAGTTTAAATATTTCAAACACGCAGCAGAATGTAAATTACTTAGTACGGAAATAAAAAGAAAAAAGGAAAAATAAATATCATGTAAAGAAAATAGATTGTTATGATTCCAACTTCACATGTATCGTTTTTGTCAGGGTAAAGAGCCTCAAGAAACACACGGAAGCAGTCACAGTTTCATCAAGAAGATTGAACAATATGCACAAAACAGATTCTATTAACAGTAGGCTCAGAAATGGGATCATTGTACCCGTCTGTACAATATAGGATCGGCCACAAAACCCCAAACCCTCTCGAAAATGCACAAAGCAGCTACTACAATGAAATGGGATCGACACACT